AAATTCCAGTGAAATATATTTATGTTTGTGGTTGTAATGTGACAAAATATGGAAAAGTTCAAGGGGTATGAATACTTTTGCAAACCACTGTATATGACAAAAAATACACAACATTAGAGCTTTAGACTGTGACATCTGAAGCAAATGGTTAAACGATAAATGGAGTTTTCTTGTATTTTACGTTGCAGTAATTATTGGCTGACAGAATTGTTTGGCGGCACGCAGTTAAAAAGCCTTGAAAGTGCGTACCACACTGAGGAATGTGCCCCCTCCAGTTGTGTAGGGGGTGGTCGGCGTGAGCGCAGGCTCGGGTGTACTCGCTGAACACCTGGCATACCACATCGTCGCTGGGACCCGACCTTCACCAGAGAGAAAAGACAGAAAAGGGAGTGGTTGAGCGCAGCCAGAAGAAGAGTGGTTACACAGCCTGGTTCACAGGACTGATTCAACCACATCGCTCACAGAAAACAACACCCTAACACGTCCGCAGAGCTCCTTCCACACCTTCAACTTTCCATTTTGTTTTCAATATAAAGTGCTGCTTTTATGGCATTATTATTATTATTATTATTATTATTATCTTTAGCTATAAAAATCACATTGAAATAATTTAATCCAGTGCAAAAGATGTCATGTATGTCAACAACATTTCTTTAATAGCTCAATGGCACCAGACAACCAATTTGAGGTGTAAAGAATTTGTTACTCTTTAATCATATTTAAATGGCATCTTTAGATGCATCACATTTGCTAAGAAAAATCTATGTGTATTTCATACTTTTTGTTCAAACTGTCATGAAATCTTGAAGAGTTTAAAAGTATGAATACTTGTAGTTCATTAATCCATGTCATTTTGCAAACGCTCTGGCTTTCAGTGAGGTCGAAGTGAAATCAGAGCTTAATGAGGTGTTCTTACCTGCAGAGGTCGTTGGAGCAGCTGGCCATGAAGGACAACGGACTCACGAAGTCATGGCAGCTCTGAAAAGGCGGGTCGAGCAGCATCGCACACACCTGTTCCACTTCCTGCAGACATAAAACATTTTTAAATTTTATTTCTTCATCGCCCTGCACCCAAAGGCTTATCGACCATTAGCAAACACACAGACCACTACAAATCTTGAGCTAATGGTTGGTGTAGTCATATCTGAGATCTTTGTTCAGAAGATGGTTTAACTACTGGAGTCTCTGATTGTTAGCAAAATATCTTGTGAACCACTGGATGGATTAAAACATGTTTATATAAAATGTATTACCTTTTAGAGCCAACTTAATTCAGAACAGCAACAACAGTTAATCAACCTTAGAAAATACAAAAATAGCTCCAACTCAGCCAAATGTACTGACAATGTGAAAAATCTCATGTTAGTTGCTGAGAATAGAATAGAATAGAATAGAATAGAATAGAATAGAATAGAATAGAATAGAATAGAAGTTCAAACTGAGCAAAAATGGGATGTGATCTATCTGTGATAATTCTCTTTGCTTTCCACCCAACTCTCTGTAATCTCAACACATGCTCTGAGCGCTTCACACTGCACAGCAACTAGCTTAAAACAATTTCACTAAATGTTGGAGTCAGTTCTGTGTGACCAAATATCCACAAAACCACTGATCAGATGTTAATGAAATGTCAAGAAAATCATTCCAATTCAAGATGGCTGTCAAGGCTAGTCAACCTTACTTAACCTAAAAACAGCTATAAATTAGCCAGTTAAACAGGAATTGGGTTAAATTTGGATTTTTTTTTAGCAGCTCAGTCATTTACAACACATACTCCTGAGTGCCGATAAATCAAATGAAATCTTGCAATATCATTTTAGATCAAACAAAAATTTATTCACAAGGTTCGACCAAAGCAGCTTTAGATCTATTATTTGTCAACATAAGATGGTTTCAATTTGAAATACATGTATTCCTTCACCAATAGCTAGGCCTTTTCTCTTGTTTCAGTTTAGGTCCTTGTGTTGCTGTTGATCTTTTGTGCTCACCAAGAGGACTTGAGCTTCAACCTGAGCACAAGGTGAAGAGAAACCAGAGGGCACCATGGGACACCTGCCCCGATGAGGCTCTGCTTCCATCCAGCTGTTTCCAAACATTTCTAAGTCATGAGTCAGAACACCTAAGAGACATAAATTTAAAGAAAATAAATCAGAATTCAGTGTTTTGAGGCATGCTTTGTGTCTGTGTTTTCTTTTTCTACCATCTTAGATTCAACAGAAGAATAATCTATTACAGTGAGATGTTAAATAAATGTTAACATAAATAATAATAATAATAATAATAATAATAATAATAATAATAGAGAACAGTGATAAAAGAAGAAATGTAATGTAGAGGAAAAAAATTTAATATCTTGATAAATCCTTAATTCTGTTTTGTATTTATGTATTCAAATGATAGACATTTCTAGCACATACAGTACTGTATGAATGCTAATCAGCAAACCTAAAGGTTTTCCTGGTTTTTTTTTGTATGTTTTGCAGCCTAACTACTTCTGCATACTTTATGCTATTTTAACTATTCTTATACAGAAATGTTCTGCTCGTTTAAGAAACGTGTGACTTTTGGTTTTGTAACTTTTATACTTAAAAAAAAACAATTTATTTATAAATATTCTGTTCATGTAAATATCGATCTCGATAAAGATCTGCAGTTCCTTCAAAAACAGGGTTCTATTAAAAATCTCTCCAAACTTCTATGTTTGTCTTTTATTATTTTTGGTTTTTAAGCTACTGATTTGCTACTTTTTATCTAGCTTTTTGTTACTTTCAGATCATAGCCAATCTTTTGATAATTTTTCTTTTAGCTAACTTTTGTATTATTTTGTCTTTTAGCAAACCCATTCATTAGCTACCATTTGGTTACTTTTAATTAAACTTTTTATTAGTTTTAGCTTTTTTTAGTCTTTTGATTCTTTAGCTAAACATTTGCTGCTTTTAGTTTTTAGCTAACCTTTTGGGGTTTTAGGTTAGTATTTTGCTGCTTCTACATTTTATAAGGCCCATAATTTTAGCTTCTAACATTGTGTTACTTTCAGCTTTTACCTATAGCCTTTTGCTACTTTTAGCTTATAGCTTCTTTTATTTACATGCATTTATCTTGTAATAAGCATATGGGTTTATTTAGCTTATAGCTGCCATTTTTTTTATTTTTGCTTGTAGTGTTCTGCTTTTTTTAGCCCAATGTGAGCATCTTTAGGCTACCAAATATCAAAAAGCTCATTCAGCCTTTCTGTAGTTGTCCTAAACGTTGCAGATTCAGGGTTAGGTTAAAGTATATACTCTGCACTGGTTTCTTTAGAGGTGTAAAGTAACTATGTACAAATACTTTGTTGCTGTACTTAAGTAGAAATTTTGGTTATTTATATACTTTACTTGATTAATTGTTTTTCAGACTAATTTTACTTCTACTCCTTACATTTTCATGCACTTATCTGTACATTCTACTTTTTGTTTTTTAAAAATGTAAGAAGTAAAAAGTCGTTACTCCTATTTAGTGTTGGCTTGTTTTCATTCTCTCTTGTTATTGTGAAAAAAATACACTGAGGTACTTTATACAAGACTGGGCTTCTTGTTTTATAACAGAAAAAAGGATCTCACCATAGCTGGTCTTCAGGTCATCCTGAACGTCAGCATTGAAATTACCACACAGGCCACAGGTTCTGCCCACAAACTCTGGGCTGAGCTTGATGTAGACGGAGCCGCTGCGTCCTTCCCAGGCCAGAGTGAAGCCCTGCTGCTGCGTCACCACAACGTACTGAGAGATCTGCTCCAGCTGCAGGTCATGGATGTGGTGAGGCAGCTGCAAACTATACACAGAAAACTCCACATGAAACCATCGATTCGTCCGTATTAAAGATGTAAATAAATAAACATTGTTAGGCTGCTGACCTTTGCCCTTTGAAGATAACGTTGTTGTTGTGTAGTTGTATCTCGCCCTCCCACGGCAGAAAGAGACTGACGGATCGTTGGCAGGCGTAAGGAGCAGAGCTGCAGTTTGGGTCATTGTGGACCTGCAAACATCCAGAATATAGAAGAGCATTTCAAATAAACAACATGAAGGCCTTAAAAACCGCTGCACTGATGAAAGAGATATTTACCCATCACCAAAAGGCAAAAAGGCAATAACAGTTTTACCCATGTCTGTGTGTGTGTGTGTGTGTGTGTGTGTGTGTGTGTGTGTGTGNGTGTGTGTGTGTGTGTGTGTGTGTGTGTGTGTGTGTGTGTCTTAATGTTAGCCAAATATTCCATCTAATACTGAGGGGATTTTAACAAAACTTGCATAAAGAAAACATTAAATGTAAATCTGCAACTTTTTAACTTTTAGATTTAAACTGATTCAAGATGGCTGCTACACCCAACTGACCTTAAAAACACTAAAACAGCTTAAAGAAAAGGGTCTAAAGTTTACTGTGGTAGTCACTGAGCACTAACAGTTTGTGCAAGAGCTTTGTTTCAAATTTTGTCAATAATTGCAGTCAGTTTGGTCTGTCTATTAGCTGACCATCAGTAACTACTGGAATTGTTTTTAATGAAAGTCTCAGGAAATAAGTTGTGATAGTAGCTGAGAGTGTGACTAGGGCTGGGCAACAATTCAAGAACAACATAGTATATCATGATAGACACGTGATCAGTATTGACAGAAAATGTGTCCAAAACAAAGTTGACTGAACTCTGATCCAGAACCACACGGCATTCTGGGAATGTAGGCAGAGGTAAGGCTTTAGCCACTCAACTCCTCACGGCACAGCTAAGCTAGGTCGGTGGCATCAACTAACTCGCTCACTTTTTGGTAAGCTGCAACAACCTGTTGAGTAACATGTAGCAGTTTCATGTTTCACTCCTGTGCTTCATGACGGCTTCAAAATAAAAAGAACATGATGGAGTAAAAGGTGAAAATGATGCAACAGCTTGAGAGGAAATTGTGGATAAAAGAGAAAAAGTCATGTCCCCAATTTGGCATTATTAACCAGCCTTTTTTCTCCTGGTCCTTATTTCAACAAGGTAAAACTAAAAGATTAATCAATAATTATAGATTTTGACTCTTACTGTGATACACTTTTCAGTCACATTGCTAAGTGTGATATCTTATAATATTGTATGAAAAATGCATTTATCATTATTTTCAAGGTTTGCCCAGAATGCTACAACTTTGTCATTTCTCACTATGTGATAATATTTATGTAAATCTGATAATAAAGAGCTTGGGCAACATGCATTCCTTCAAAATGAAGCTAATCCTTTAATTTAATAAGTAATCATTAGCTGTTAATTTACAATTAAAGAAACAGTTTATTGTCTAATTGTTTTTTTTTTTTTTTCTGAAAAGATACAGGCTCTGCTGCTTTCTCATGGAAACAACATCCTGTCTGTTGCAAGTTCCAGGAAAAGTATTTAAAGGTAATTGGCTCTAATAACCCATTCACTCATCATAAGAACAAATCTTTTCCTCAGGCTGAGACTGAACCATCCAGAACTCTCACTAAGCCAGATTCAGACATTCCCCAACCTGAACCTCCAGGGCGGCTCAGAGACAGCAGGATTTATTTTGCCTGGACTAACCTGGACCACGACGCTGGCCTGGGTGGTTTCCTCACAGTCCCTTAGTAAAGTGTACGTGCACCGACCGGGGAAGTAGAAGTAGAGGCCGTCAAATGTCTCAAAGTTGTACTGACCCCAAGTCCTGCAGGTCATCTCCCTCTCAAAGCCAGTATTTGGAACTGGATATTAAAATAGAACAAAGGTAATGATAATCTGGCAATAGGTAATGATGAGCATCTGGAAAACATGCTAAATTAGGCTGTAGGGTCATTTTAGAGAGAAAAAACAAGTTTATATTAAAAGTTCTCCTTATGATATTTTACAGCTTTGTAAGTCAGCAGGTCCTCATGTTGGATCTGTTTATGATGCTCCTGTTGAATCAGGAACTCTGTCAAATATTAGCTGCCAAATCTCCCACTATGAATGGATCCTGAAAAGGTTGGAGTTTTATCTGAAAATGGTTGCCTGCTGCTGACTGGGATAAATCACCAGACAGATCGAGGTATAACCAAATGGTTTAAAGCTTTGGTAAAATCTTTAGAAAAAGTTCAGTTCTTCAGAAAATAATTCTGGTGATGTTCAAAGTCTCAGACCCTGTAAAATTACATAGTTAAATTTTCTGCAATAAAAATGTACCATGTTAATATTTCAATACTTTTTCTGTATTTAAATTGATTGAATAAAAACATTTTATTCTTATTTTCTAAACTAAGAATTCAATGTGAAACAAAAAAATGAGTTTTTAATTTGAAAGTGAAATGTTTTTGCATTTTTCTAACTGAAGGTACTGAAAACAGATGTAACTGTAAAATGAACTACAATATGGCACCATGTTTCAGTGTCAGAACATTACTCAGCAGCATGCATGCAACCATAAACTTCAACAAATTTTCTTTCAAATTCCAGCTGATTTTTTTTGTTACACTTTCTGCATCAGATCAGAGATGAAGTTTATTTGATTGTGATTTTTTTCACTTATTGATCTCAGACGACAACTGAAGTGTTTTCACTGTTTATCAGGTGTGTTGTCAGGATTCACCTGTCTGGCATCTGTGTCCAGTGGCCTGGAACAGGCTGCAGTCACATGACTCTGATCGAATGCACTGACCACCATTCAGACAGGGATACTCACACGACTCCCCTGAGAGAAATGAAAAAGATAATGACAGAGCTGCTAATAAAACTGGAATCAATTAAAGAGGAGTAATTGATATAACAATTTTATATGCACCCAGTATAACAGGTTAGAATTTTTAAAAAGTTCAATATGTTTATTTTTACTGTTTCAAAGTGATTTTAGCATAAAACATTAATGAAAACCTGCCACTTAAAGCCTCTGTAGCATCAATTCATGATCTGGGGCCTCATGTACAAAGAAGTGGGGATTTCTTACAAACATGGCGTACATTAAAATCAAGAAAACAGCATATGCACAAATAAATCAAGATGTTTTAAATCATTCATACGCCAAAATCCAAGCTTTTTTCTTTTGTTCAACCCAACAAATGTGAAACTGAGCACACGTCAGATACCTTCCCTGACAGGCCTCTATTTAAATAAGTTAATTAGATGCAAGTATGTCCAACATGATGAGGCCACAGGTCACTGAATGCACCACCAGACACTCAATGGTGTCTCCTTGTGTTGAATTACCACCATCTGCTCTGCAGACTTTTGGCTCGTCGGGCACATCGCAGATAAGCAGAGGTACGCTAAAAAAGATGGACTAATAAATAAGAGAAGCGATTTTTTCCTTCTGTTCACTGAAACCTGACACTGCATTTGTAGCCACAGTATATTTAAATAATAGTGATTAAACAAAATGGTTTCACCAAAATAGGATGTTTTAGGGATAAATTTCACTATTCTTGGAAAATAATTTATGGAAATCGGTGATTGTATAAAATGAAAAAAAAAACACTGTTTAGTCTGTGTTTCAAACACAGATCTGCCAATAGCTAGTTATTAGAGGATCTTTGTGGTATTATTTTCTATTTTTTATTATATTGAGGTATTGTTAACAGCTTTTGTCAAACAWTTGATTTCATGGCAATGAAAAATGGAGCTAAAATATAATTCTCTATTTATATGTTATCTATAAAAATGTGCAGTAGAGGAACAATGTCCTAAAGTTTCATTGGCAAATTTTTTCAAATTGACTTTGGGTTTATTATTACATTCAAGCAGCAACGATCAAATCCACTGTTTTCTTCCATTTCAGTCTGAAACTAGGAGAGCACTCAATCAAAACTAAACAGTTTGTTTGGGGAAATGTCTGATTTAGATTAAAAAAAACATAMAATAAAAAATATTAACTTCAATTCAAATTTTGTTGCAATGTTTTTACGAAATTTATCATAAATGTGCATATGCAACGTGTATGGTTAACATGTAAAATTGTTGTTTGTAGATTTGACAAAAAAAAAAAGAACACAGCTTTTAGTGTCAAAATGTAGACCATACACAAGTGCATTAAGCCATTTGGCCTGTTTTAAAACAAAGTCAAATTACCTGTCAGATGATTTGGTGGGGCTTTTCACCCTTCATTTAGCTCTTATGAAACTTGGTAAACTCACCTGGAATTCGACGTCTCAATGACTTCAAGGCTTCCTTGGCCTGCCTGGTCAGCAGTGAAACATTGACAGGATGCTCCTCTGGTGAAAAGGCTCCACTGACTGAGTTTCCTGTCGTTGAACCAGATGTCGATTGTTTCGATGATAATGAGCTGTTCACTGACTGACCGGTGGTCACAGACTTTGGCAGGGATTGGTTATTTGATGCTGAGATGTGTGATATCTGAGGTAAGGTCTCTGATTGATCAGCTGTTATCAAAGTGGCTGGTGATTGGTTAGAAAATGTAGTTGTGATTGAAGATTGACTTGATGTTTTTGAGGCGGTGGTTGGACGGCTGAGAGAAGTTTGGCTGGATGACAGTTGGCTTGAATTTGTTGGTCTTTCTGTTAAAAGTTCATTAAAGATCATAGCTKTTTTTTTACTGACTGGTCGTGGACTAACAGGTTCTGTGGTTCTTAGTGGCTGTCCAGATTTTGTTGTGCTCGTAGATTGACTTGGTGGTGCTTCTTTTGATGCTAATTTATTGGCTGGTCCTTTAGTAGAAGGAGTTTGATTTGATATTGAAGAGCTACCTGATGGTTTTTTGGCTGACACTGTACTCATGTTTGATTGGCTAAGGAGTTTTATTTGTTTTCCAGGTTGAATTGATGAAATTGTACTGGATAGGTTGACTGGTTTTGAGATTGCTGATGTTGAGTTATTTTGTAATTCTTTAAAATTTTTTGTCTTAGTTGATGTTTCTTCAGAGAAAAATGAACTTCTTGATAACTTGTATTTAACTGTGGTGGTGGGAAATTGGATATATGGCGGTGCAGATGATTGGCTGGTTTGCATTAGTTTACCTGATGACTTGCTGGTTGATGTGGTGGTTGGTGATTGCCATGTTTGTGTTGTGCGGTTAGATGTACTTTGCATTTTGATGACTGCTTCTTGGTTTGCTGAAGTATTGGCAGTTGGTAATTGGTTTGATGCTTCTATAGTAGTTGCTGGTTTGCTGGGTTGCAAAGTTCTACCTGGTGACTCACTGGTTGATCCCATAGTGACTGATGTGTTGCTGGGTGTTTGGTTTGCTGCTTTTTTACTCTCTGGTACTTGGCTTCTTTCTGTGATGCTGTATGTTTGGCTAGCTGATGCAACAGTTTCTGTTTGGGCAGAAATCATTTGGGTTGTTGACAACTGGATAGATGATTCTGTGATAGTTGCTGATTGGCTTGTTTGGGTTGTTCTGCCAGTTGGTAGACTGTTCATTCTTGTAGTAGTTAGTGGTTGGCTAAATGATGTCCTCTTGTTTGGTAATTGACCTGGTGGGGTTTGATTGGCTGTTTGTGTCTTGTGTGGCAGCTGGCTACTTTTTGTCATGACAGATGGTTGACTAGTTGATGCAACAGTAATTACTGTTTGGTCAGAAACCAGTTGGGTGGTTGACAAATGGCCAGATAATTCTGTGGTAGCTGATTTTATGCTGGTTTGCAATGTTCTGCTTGGTGATGAATTGCTTGATCCTGTAGTGGTTGTTGGCTGGCTAAAATATGTTTCCTTGTTTGGGGATTGGCTGGAAGGTGTTATGTTGCTGAGTGTATAACTATTTGTAGTTTTCCTGTGTTGTGGTTGGCTACTTTTTGTGCTGCCATATGTTTGGCTAACTGTTGCAACAGCAGGTTTTGAAAGGGTGGAAATTACTTTGGTGCTTGACATGTGGTCATGTGGTCCAGTAATTGTTGCTTGTTGACTTGCATGTGTTGTGCTCCTCGTTTGGGTGACTGTTGGTGTGGTTGTCCTCTGTTGGTTGGACAGCATTGGACTGATTTTTGATTGGCTAGTTTTTATAATCTTACTTGATGATTGACTTGATAGAGTCACATTACTTGAAGAAATGTTGGTTTTTGATGTGGTGCTTGATAATTTGCTTGTTTGTCCCATGCTGCCCATTGATTGGCTGGTTGATGCTACAGTTCTTTGTGATTGGACGAATGATTCTGTGTCAGTGAAGGATTGGTCCAATTGTGCAGTTTCAGCTGACGATTGACTTGATAGAGTCACACTGCTTGGTGAAATATTAGTGTTTGTTGTGGTGCTGGATGATTTGCTGGTTTGTTCCATGCTGCCTGTTGATTGGGTGGTTGATGCTACAGTTGTTTGTGATTGGATGGTTGATTCTGTGTTTGTCTGAGATTGGTTCAGCTGTGCTGTCTTAGTTGATATCTGACTGGATGGGGTTGTACTGTGTGACGATTGACTGGACAAAACTGGATTAGTTTGGGATTGGCTTGATTGCGTAGTCCCAGACAACGATTGACTAGGTGGGGTTGAGTTGCCTGCTAATGTGTACTTGTGTAGTGTGTGACTTGCAGGCATTGTTCTTGATGATGTTTGGCTATAGTCCCCAGATGCCTCGTCAAAGTTGGGAGTCCATGAAGCATTTTCTGTTCTCTCCACCTTGGGGGGCATCTCCTCGGAGGTGTCCTTAGATGCAACACTCCTGCTCACCAATGATTCACTGGAGGCAGAGGTATTTTTTTCTAAAGCAGTCGTTGTACGCTGGAGGTCCTTCAGGAAGAGAAAGCAAATTATCATGAAATGGATGCAATCATTGGCAGTGTCTCAATTCATGATCTCAGATAGTCTAGCCTTTGCTTGACGTAGGTTTGTGTGACCACGCTCTATACCCCATTACCATAGTGATCTGTACCATGTCAGACTTAAAATGCATTGAACTGTGTATTCACACATATTTTCACTGGAAGAATAACTTCACAGTTAAAACGTTACTCACTCATAAATAAAAAAAGGCCATTAATAACTTGGGTTTAGCTCCAGTATTAGTACTTGTAGTTGCATTTTATTTTACATATAATTGCAGCATGAATTTTGTCAGCTAAGTTGTTAAACTTAGCTGATAAAACAAATACAAAAAAATTCTTTGATCCATAATGAATTTCCGAACTACAACAACTTGGTCCAAAAATAAAAACTCTGCTGTCTTCGTTTTTCTGTTCACGTTGCTGTCATCGAGTCAGCCTGGATACTCGGATGCATCCTTGATTTTCAAGATTTTCTTGGCTGCAAGATGAGGAGCCTTCAAATGGGAACAGCGCGAAGTTACGTATGTGGACGATAAATACCCACTCATGAGGATGCAGCCTCTGTACTGAGACACAGCCATTGTAACAATTCAACCATAATCAGATGTCATGTTTCAAAGCTTTCTATTCATCCATTCATTTTCTTAGCCTGCCACTGCTCCACAGCCACCCACATAATCACTTACTGACAGCAGTGTGAAGCTTTATAAAATAGCATTTGCCTGAACCCAGTTGTTATAAGGCAGCAGTTCACTTTGATTTCACTAAGTCAGTCAGAATCAAACTTTGTTTTTCCAAACCGAGGTCATTCAAATAGCTGTTTATATGTAAAAAAAAATGTTTGTTTTACCCTTTCTAAAAAAACATTTAAAAAGATCTGCAGTGACCATTACAGGTTTTTTCCTTCAGAGTAATATGTCTGTAATACATAATCATTTTGYTATATGTGACCCATCACATCGAAACGAGGATTAAGTCCAAAAGTGGAATGTGGAGAAATAGGCAGATATATGGTTTTTATTTAAACGTAAGCAAAAATTGCATTTTGTCAAAATGTAATGAATTCAATCATTTGAATGAACTGTCTGAAGTATAATCCTAAAAAAAATCTGAAGCACAATTTTTAGCAGTAGCAATGAAAAACCTGATTTTGAGGAAAAATGCCTTAAAATTTTTTTTAATTTTCCCTGTGAGCTAGCAATGTTTTTGTTTCTTTCCAACTGAGAAATTTCAATGTTGAAATACTATTTGAGGTCTTTATAATGACATCAAAAATTCCTCAATAAATTTACATAAAATTCAGATTCAGACCAAAGGGTAATGCATCATCATAATCAACAAGACAAATTAAGTCATATCTCTGGTTCCATTTATGATATCAGAATGATACAGGTATCAAAATGTAGCTTTTAAAGCCAGGAGTCTGAAAATGTAATTAGGTCATTTTGACTAAATTTGACTTCATCTTCATTTTGATATGATGGCTCACAAATGGAGTAGTAAATTACAATTACTTTGATTAAGACAGACCACAAAACCTTGTCAAATAATAGGATTTGTTTTTAAAATGTTATTAAAAACTAAYTTCTAAAATACTCATTATGTAGAATGTTTTGGCACTAAAAAGACAAAAGTACAATCTTCAAGTGTTGAGCAGTATTGCAGTAAATTTGATTGGAGAAGATTCCTTTTTAACTAGCGTCCATCATTTGTCAGACCACCTTGTTCCAGTACTTTGAGCCTCACTGGATACCTGAGCTCTGAAAAAAGGTTTCATCTCAAAGAGCCTGAACAAAGCAGATGGCAAAGGGTAAGTGCAGCGTGGATACGAGGAGCGCGTGAGTGACCGCGAATTATTAATCTCTGATCAGTATCAGTCAAGTGTAAACAGAGCAGCTCAAACACATGATATGAGCGTAAAGCCACCGTGTGCTCAGAGATCTCACGTCAGGTAAATGAGCTTCGCATCCTTTTGACCTATGACCTGTTGCTACTAATTCCTTTTGTTCGTTTATGGGCTCCCATCGTTTGGAGCGGATTCTCAGGCCTCTTTGAACCAAAGGGACGCCAGACAAAAGGGCGACATCATTCAGGCAGATAGCGGCTCTGATGGAGGAAGAGCGAGAAAACAGAGCMGCTACTGAATATTCCTGCTGGGACTCCCCTCACAGGTCTGCTGCCCAGGAACAAATGTCACCATGAAATAACTTCAACACCAGGAAACAAGTCACATTTTCAATTTAAATATTCTTACAGGCCAGCAACATCAGGACTGCGTCCACGTGTGTTTGGTTAAATTAAAAAAGACGACTTGAACATTTCCTGTAAAACATTTCAGTGTTCAAAATCTTTTGAATGTGTTGGAAGTTTACTTAACCTGTTGTGCGTGAAACATTTTTTTATTTCTACAGCATCTGTACATCAGCATTTGTTTTTCAGGTCATGGTGATGTGTTTTATGATTTTTTTTTTTTTTTTGTGTGTGATCTGTTTGCCTCTCGAAGCAACTCCATCAGCATCAATGATCAAACCAGCTGCCTACCTGCCCTCCCTGGGAAGCGGTGTCCCATTTCTGCTGCTTTATCCTGCTGCTCCCGCTGCTGGGACAGAGAGAACAAGGACAAGTTTGTTCCTGCTGCTGCTTTTTCATTTCGCCCCCACCGGCCCCGACACCACCAACCCACCACCGAACCAGAAGCCACCCAGTTCATCAAATAAACACAAAACAAACAAGACACATGACCACCGCGGTGGTTATTCATGAACACAAAGTTTGTAAAAAAA